AAATGTTTGGATTTTGCTGGTGTCGCTGGTGAAAATCATTATATTCTCTAGGGTTTTGTGGGATTTTGTACTGACATCCAAACAATCCTAAAGAACACGATGATTTCGATCGGCGACACCAACAAAATTCAATTTTCTCGTGTGGAATTTATGTATTTCATTACAAAATCCAAACAAACCCAATAGAATATAATGATTCTGACCAGCGACAACAGTGGAAATCAAACAAGAATGCGAATCCAAAGATTCTGTATACATATTTCGATTTTTTGGATTTTTGGATTTCTGCAGCAGTTGATCAATACATATGCTAGTCCGTCATGAGGTTCAAACATAATCACAATTCAATCGAATCTCGTGGCACAGTCTTGGGTATACACAGTTCGTTTGTTGCGCTTGCGCCTTGCTTGCAGTTTGTCTCGTTATGCTCCGAACCACCGATTTTGTGACACAGTTTCGGGTGGATTTGTGAGCCTATGATAGCAGCAAAGTCATCGGTATTTACAGTGGTTTCTATATGTGTTTTACATATCGAAGAAAGACGGAGGTGGATCATGGGAGGGGGGATGGCCATATGTATGTATATATATATATGCATATGTATATTTTTGGTTCTAATCACTCACTCACTCAGTCACTCACTCCCTCGCTTAGTCACTCACTGACTCACTGGCTCGCTCTCTCTCGCACTCACTCACTCACTCACTCACTCACTCTCTCTAGACATGTACGCTATGAAACTGTGTATACTATACATATATATACACATACATATAGAGGACATGTACTATAGCCACGCTATAGACTATACATACTGTGTATAGTAAACGTGCTATACAATATTTGTATATAAATATATACGTACACATCTGCATGTACTATGCTGTGTATATACATATAGCGTATATTTTGTACATGTACATATATACTTCGCAGACAATATCGATACATGTTTATACTCTATATATCATGTATATATACACATACGGTTTGTATCTACAATTTGAGTATCTATGCTGTGTAGTACTACATATGCTACATATACGGTATACGCCATTGGCGTATAGATGTATGTTCGCATGTCTGTATGTATGTATGTATGTATGTATGTATGTATGTATGTATGTATGTATGTAGTTATGTACGTATATATATATATATATACACATGCGTAGCATACATACTATGTGTAGCACCTATACTATGTGTAGCACCTGTATATGATGCCATACGTACACGTTGTATGTACTATACACACTCTCTACAAATATATGTGCACATAATCACATACTGTATATACTATATAAACAAAGGGTCTGTATATACCGTATATACTTTACACGCTATGCATGTCGTGTATACTGCATGTGTATTTGCATATACACACACACACCATGCAAACTACAGTAGATTTACGATATATACTTTATACATATACTGTATATAGTATGTTTGCTAGAAGCATTCGTACCTACATGTGCTTTGTGAATTTTTAAATTGTTTGTACTGTATACACTACATGTTCTATGTTTCCAATAGACATTGTATACACCCTATACACTATGCATACTATGTATACTATGTATACTATGTATACTATGTATACTGTATACATATATATATATATATAGCTTGTATGCTTTACAAACCATATAGTTTTACGGTGTATGTGTATCAGATATTATATCGACCGTATATCTTGCACATCCTATCTATACACAATACACACACACAAATTAATTGTAGATAACTGTATGTAATATACATATATATATAGGCATACATACATACACACATGCACACACACACACACACACTCTCTCTCCCTTTATATACATGTGTGAATATATGTACACCACATATACATATATACATACGGATACATAAACATATCATATACATGCATACATACACACATGCATGGGTACAAATATTTACATATGTATATATGTATACGTGTGTGTATATATATATATATACATGTGCATATGTATATATACACATACATATATATATATATATATACACATCTTTATACATGTATATATATATATATATGTACACACACAGAGAGACGTACACACACACACACACATACACACACCCTCGCCACAAGATAACACAAGCCGAAGGCTAAAGTTCGCCCTTCAACAGCGAGATACGGGGTCGATCTTTTCATGAGTGTGTCACTCAGGTAGTCGTGTGCTGTGCTGGCATTGCGACCCTTCCGAGATGGACGCCGACTTCAGATGGATTCTTGGAGTGTTTAGGGAAGTGATTTTGGAGCTCGGTTTCCGCTTCATCCTATCCGACCCGCCAAGGATATGAGAGTCAGTTTGCTGTGCCGCCCGTCTCAGTGCTCCATGTTCTTGGCGGTGCCAACTGTTGATGGGAGCTTGACGCTGAGCGCTTCAGGAATCACCTGGCTCATTTCCATCTGGTCTCCTCCCTGGTGGCATCTGGCAAGCATATCCGTGTGGCAACCTGCCTGATTCTTTTTGTTGACTTTATGTGCTCGCCGCACTATCGCGTCTGACCTGTCCTGGGAGCTGTGCAATTTCAGGTGATGGTATCATCCGACCTACAGCGAGTAGGGCAGAAGCTCTGGCAAAAGCCATGCCGTGGCGATCGAAGCCGTTCGATTCATGATTCTGTTCCGCCCGTCTGATCTTGCAAGGAAATTTTTGCAAATTGAGCTTGACACCATCAACAGCAAGAGCCGCTCAGCACAAACCATGTCTGTGACCAAGTACTGGTGACTGAGTCCGTTGTGCGGGGTGGAAGAGGCACATTTTGGGAGAATTCAGGACGCACAGGTTTTTTCACAGTCTGCATCAAGACAAAAAGCTGCATATCCACTCAGCTCTGCCATTCCCGCTTGTGGCGGAGCTTGGTACTGAAGCATGACTTCTTTTTCAGCCAACTCGTTTCTTTCCGGCATCTCTCCTTTTTAGTCTTCCCCGCTCGTCAATGTCCACAGTGCATAGGCATCATAGGCATAGTCTGCAGCAAATAGTTTCTTTCCTTACTTGCCTTCTTGGTTTGGGCTTTCTCCCTTCTTCCTGAGTCTGTCGTCTCCTCTCGCTCCTCGGAGCATTTGTCGGCACTGCCGAACGTGAAATGAGCCCTTCTTTCCGATTCTTCTGCCCTCCCATTTGTTGTGTAGCTCCCACTTGCTTAATTCTCAACACAACTCGGGTAGACCGAATGGATGAACAGGCAACATCCATTTGTGAACAATTTGGAAGCGAACGCCGAAGATGTGTAAGCTCGTAGGACCCGTAGGATGTGGCCTCTGCGGCTTTGAAGCTTCGCGGCCAGTAAGACCGGCGCAGCAATGATACGAATCGACATGCGAGTGACTGCAATTCTTTGCCTTCTGGTCTCTGCATCTGCATGCAGTGATTCTGGAGATGGCAGCTGCTACAACGAGACCATCTTCGCCGTCTTGTCTGTACTTGGTGTTTGTGCTTTATGCAGCTGCTGTGTTCTGTGGGCCTCCTGGTTGTGTGGTCTGTGGGAGCAGGCTCGGAAGCCTACACTGATGATGAGTCTGGTTCCATTCCTGATGACAGCCTTCTGTGCCTTAGCACCTCCATTGGGCCGGGATGATCCTGGGAGATGCTTTGCCACAACGCTTCCCGAATCAACCCAGCTCTATGGTCTGGAAATGGTCCTTATGCTCTCTGCCCAGATGGGGGTTTCGTGGGCTGGTTTGGGTGTGTCACTGGTTTGGCTGTATCACATTCCGGCGAAGACTGCCTTGGGCATCCTTGCTGTCAAGTACTCGGTTTTGACAGCTCTCTTGAACATGATGGGTCTGTTGGGTTGGACTCTGGGTGGTTGCATGACAGCTGGAGTAGACAGGTTTGACGTAAACGCGGCAGTCTTTGCCTTGTCATTTACCGGCAGCTTTGTCACCAATATCATTCTGCAGAAGATCGTGATCGTCAGAACAGAGACTCACTCCGACAAAAAGGTAGCTGGACGCATGCGACGCACGATATATGGGGAATACATCGGGGGCGCACTATTGTGCCTTGGAGCCCTGTTGCACGGCGTGACGAGAGGACACGGTATTGTGCCCGGCGGACTGCTCTTCTCTGGTATCTACATGTTGGGTAGCTTCCACCTGTTGGTCTTTGACGGCATCTTCTCCTGGCATGCCTACGTGGCTTTGCGGCAGACTCTGCGACAGGCGCAAAGTGCCTTGCCGGCCAAGGCCTGCGGTGAAAGCAGGACAGGCACAGCTGTGGCTGTGGCCAAAAACAACTTGCGCCTTGTCCTGCTCGCCGTTCTGGGGACTAGCCTCCACTACTGCACCGTGCTTGCCCTTGCAGCTTGGTTTTGCATCTCTCCTCAAAGCTTATTGCGCTTCAAGTTCTTCCACCTTCTGTTTCCTATGTGGTGTCTGGACAGCATCTTCAACGACCTCTGCGCTGTTTACATTGGGTGCGGGCCAACAGAGGCAGGTCGAGCAGGGTGCAACCCTACCTTGCCAAGCAACGGAAACGACCCAAACCTGTTTGTCCTTTTGATGGCGTTCCAATGGTTCCCAACATCAAGAACGAAAAAAGCACCCAAACACGAGCTTGTGGGTGGGATATCCCTACCCTATTGCCATGTGTAAAATCCTATGGGATATCCCAGCTATATGATTTATGGTTTTGTTTAGGTGTTCTGTGGGGTCCGTACAAATCAACAGAGCGCATTCAAGACTGTTCACCCTTCGGAAGCTTGCAGAGCACACGCTCAGCTAGAAGTTCGAGCGCCACGTCACAGACATGACAATTGCTGGTGAATCCCAAACCCGCAGCATTCAGTCCTAGAAGCAGAGCAAGCCCCGAAATCCTAAGGCCTCCCAACCCCCAGGCCGAAATCCTTAAAAGCCCCCAAACTATACACGAAGCCCTGAACCTGAAGCCTTTGACTAAGCCTTAGCTCTGACAGGAGGCCCTGGAGCTGGTTTCCCACGTCGCTGAGGCCACGGTGGTGGGCCGGCCAGCGGAAGAGGCTTCGATCCCGGGACAGGCCGGCATCAGTAGTGGAAACAGAGGCAGTACGTAGAAGCAGACGTACTCGTCCTCAGCAGAATAGAAGTCGTGGTCGTCGCAGTCGCAGTCGACGGAAGTCGTAGCCGTGGACGTAGTCGTCAGCGTCGTCATTGTGGGCGGCTGTGGTGGTGGTGGTGGTGGTGGTGGCAGTAGTAGTTGTAGAAGTGGTTGCAGTGGTATGTAGTGGTATGCAGTGGCATGTTGTGGTATGTAGTGGTATGTAGTGACTGGCAGCAGTAGTAGTAGTAGTAGTAGTAGTAGTAGTAGTAGTAGTACTAGTAATAATAAGGAGTAGTACAGGTAGTAGTAGTAGTAGTAGTAGTAGTAGTAGTAGTAGTAGTAGTAGTTGCAGTTGCAGTTGCAGTTGCAGTTGCAGTTGTTGTCGTCCTGTGTCGCTGTCGTTTTTTTTTTTTTTTTTTTTGTT